AAGCCCAATTTTTGCTATTATTTCTTAACTTATAAATAGATAACAGCTTTCCTTTTTATAACTAATATGAAATTTTCCAATGGCATGTTAATGTGATGGGCTTGATAAGGTCATTTTCATTATTATTTAGAGTATTAATTAGCATAATACTATGTTAGATATCACATTGACATGCTATATATTAAAAATATATGTATATAAACGAACAAATTTGACTTCAATAAAGCCAGAGCTTTTTCTCTTGATTTTATACTAAGAACAAGAATCATTTAAAGCCATATAGTAATTTATACTCATCACATAATCTTTAATTTATAAATTTGTTAGTAATCAATTTAAAAACTATCTGGCTCTAAGAATAGAAAAAGAAGTAGGTTAGTAAAGTGTCGATGAGATTTTTATATTATTAAAATCGAATACTTAACTTTCTTGCATAAAATTATCTTTCCCATTTCGATCATCCGATCATCTTGTCCACATGATTAATTGTTTGTTTTGACTAATCTCATTGTTATTTGTATTTTCTGCTACTAAATATTTAATATAATACCTCTTTTCCATCCTTAAATCTTATTTCTTCCTGTAGCTTTTAGAGCTAAATCAACTTATTTATTTAACCCTCCTGAGTTAATAGTTATACTACGTATTATAATACCTTTCCTTTTTTAGAAATCTTGATGTTGCTACGTACGTACGTATTAATCATCGAAATAGCTAACAAAAATAGCAAATTGGTGATCATACTCGTCCACATATCAATAAGTTTTTACTTAAAATCTTTGTATTTTTGGATGCTATAAATAGTATATATTTTATATATAAATTGAATATTCACGATTATACAATATTTAAAGAAATCTGACAATATTTTATTTGCATTTTTTTTTCTAATAAAGTTTAATTCTTAGCAATAGTTTTTTTTATTTCATAACTGCATAATACATTAAATAATGATAACTATTTTTTTTAAGCATAAAATATATAAGAAAATATAATATTAATTTACTTTAAAAGAGTATATCAAAGATGACACCTCTTACGGAAATAGCATATTTAACAGTCCAAGAGCTCTCGAACTGGTAATGATTCTACTACTCCAAGTTTAGTTGGTATTTTCAAATCAATAGTATATTCATCATGCTTTCTAATAACATTTTGCGTATTCTTGTTTTTATCTTGAGCAATAAGAATAGCCTTAGTGATTTGGCGTACAAAAACACCAAGTTTTATATAAGTTTCACGATCTTGTTTTAATTTCGTTTGATCAGTCGCTTGTATATACATTTTTAATAATTGCTTCCATACTTCATCAGAAACAAATTCATCCAATTCATCATATGGTTCCTTTGCACTATTTATTAATTTATTTGATTAGTATAAAAGAACAATTATTATTATTTATTATGTTGCTATTACGAACCTTTCATTAGTTGATCTAAATTCATTTGCCAAGTTTATTAATGCAATATGAAATTTGTGCCGATATGAATTATACCATCCACCAATATCTTTAACCAAAGATCCTAATCTTCGATCAGTTTTTGAAATTTTGCTAACTTTTGTAATTAATTCTTCGTATAATACTGTAGTATTATTTCGAGTTCGGAGGAATAGAGCTTTACATTCTTCCTGTAATTGAAATTTAATATACTAAATTTAAATTAAAAGTTAGTAGAATTATTATATGGTTTTATATAATAAAAAAAAATGCTATATCTTACTTGATCAATTTCAGAGAGTTTTGATACAGGTTCATTTAATATAATATTAGTAGATATTGAAGTTGAATTATCCTCTTCATCTACTCTTGTCAACTTCGCTTTTCTAATATTAGTCGCTAAATCTAAAATTCTTTTTTGGTGTGCCAACCACCAAGCAATTTCAAACTCATTATTAAATTGTTGAAATTGTGCCGGCTGTTTCGAAGTTAGATTATCTGCTAATAAATCAAAAAATATCAGGATTATTTGTTATAATAGTTGCTTTTTATTAATATATACCTGAGGAAGAAACTTAAAATGTAGTAATATCATCATTGTTTGTTGGCAAAAGAGGCGTATTAATATTATCATCATCATGCGTCAGTAAAGATGTATTAAAATTATCATGATTGTGTATCGATGAAGAAGTTGGACAATGTGTATTAGTACTATCATTTTCATAAGCAAACAAAGAACCTAGAGATGCATTATCATCAGGTTCATTATCTGAAGAAGAATCTATAATATTATCATTCTTTTCATGATACGTGATAATTGCAATATTATTATTGCTTTGTTCTTTATTACTTTGTTCTTTATCGCTTTGATTTGTTTGACTTGGTTAAAGTGATGATTCATTAGACAGCATCTTATTATAGATATATTGTTAACATTCAGTTGTTTTTTTTTGATACTATATTTATTAATTTAATTTTTTTTTACATCTAAACTTACAATAGGATTTACGATATTATTTTTTTGTCTTTTATTGGATCTTTGTATTTTATTGGTAGCTGGACTTTGATTATCTAAAAATATTATGTTAGATAATACAATATAAGAGAAAAACCAAATAATCTATATTAATACCTGGTTTTTTTTTTTCAATTCTATTAAAAATTTAAAAATTAGTTGAAATAAATCATTAGTAATTTCAAGAGCTTTTTTTTTTCTTACCAAATTTTCGTTTAGCATTAAACATGTTTGATATAGATTAAACAGTGTCACAGCAATATATCTACTTAAGAATATGTTCTTTTTCGTATCTTTTTTTTTCAAGATATATTGTGCTTGGAAGTTTGTTCACCTGTGTTCGGACTTCCTCTTATTTATATTTTTATGCATCTGTCAAAAATAAACTATTTACATCATTACAATAATATATAATTAACTATTACCATGTGTTAGCGATAAGTCTATTTCATATGCATGAAAATTACATTGTTAGATATATTGATCATTTAAAAGTCTATTACAGATTTATCTGACGCAAATCTATTTATAATATAACTCTAATAACTCGAATTTACTAATTTTATATTTATTATAAACATGTGAACCTAGTTCACGATCATAGAGTTAATACTTGGATCCGGATTTAATGATTAAATCCGGATTTATTGTTAAATCCGGTAACAATGATATCTGTATTGTCCAAACATATTCTGAGTGGACAGAGATATATTTAAATCTGGATCTTACAATTAAATCCGGATTTAACAATAAATCCGGATTTAACAATTAAATTCAGATTTAATCATTAAATCCGGGTCCAAGTATTAACTTTAGTCACGATTATTCGATTATAATTTTAAAAAAGGTATATATTTAGCAGTTATTAGCTAGCTAATCAAGCTATTAGCCACCTAAGTGGCTAAGCAACTAATTAAATAGCTAGTTTAATCAACTTGAAACACTACTTGAAATACTAACAATAATATTATTAGCCATTATCAGCCAGCTGATCAACTATCGCTATCTAAGCTGCTAAGTAGCTGCTAGTTTTGTCAGCTTGAAGCACTAATATTATTAATTAATAAATATATAATATTACTCTAAATTGTTTTTAATAACTCTAATAAATTCTTTTATTATGTCATTAAGTCTCTTACCGATTTTACAATTATTATAAATATGCGATATTGTAACCTAGTTCACAATTATTATTTTAATTATGCATGATTCATTTTAGTAATAATAATATAACATAGATAATTATCATTGCAATTCCTCATCACATATAGTTTGTAGTAGTTAAAAAAAAATTTAATGAGTTACTTATATATACAACAAATCAAAAGTAAATAAAAGAGAAATAAGATTGATAAAGTTTTATAAAAACCGATTATTCATAATATTACTATAATAATAATGAAGTGTTCAAATAGAACTACTCGTGCATATATACCAATACCAAATTTGCGTATTAAATCTAAAAACAAATTGGAAAATGCCAAGAAAACTTCTATAGATGATCATATATCAGAACATAATAA